ATTTTTTTACCTTTTCGCAAAAAGGCGCAATTACAAATTTGCTAATATTTGTTATTTATTAACTCAATACAGTTTTATCTTTTAGATTTAGTCAAAAAATATTTTTTTTTGTGCACGGATACTGATTTTGGTGTGTTTTAACAATTGAATTGTGTATTTTTATCGGTTTAATATTAATTTGAGAAACATTTGCGCAATTATCGCAGGGCCTACAAATTTAGTATCACCATCTTTTTATTCTACCGGGCCTGCGCTTTCAGAAAATATATGGTTTGGGGGGTCTTTTACAAACGCTAGCAACGCAGCAGTTGAAAATCAAATCAATAGGAAAAAATTGCAGAAAATTCAAAAATGGCTTGGCCAGCTGATTTGAAAAATGTTCCGGAGGGCTTGGCAGCGAAAGGGTTAAAACCACAGATGTGACACATATTTAGTATTCATTTAAACAGTATAAATTGCTGTATAATTTTAGGCTATATTATTTTGAGTGTAGTAATTTAATAAATGTTAATAAGGAGCTAAAGAGCAAAGATTGTAATGTGTTGCTTGTTTTTGCCATAATATGCCTATAAAAATGTTATTTACATAATACAGCCTTATTTTTTATCACATAAAATCAATTTTACATGCAGGTGGATATTCTACAGAATAACGTGCTTTTTAAATGATATACTAGGGTTGATTTACAAAAGGAGTAGAGACTGTTCACAATATATGATCACTTTACAAAGTAAATGATAGTAAAAACGTGAACCTGGTTCACTTTGAATACCCAGTCATGTGCAAAGGAAATAAAACAGGATTTTTCTTAGCATGTGATTGGTTGTTTGAAGTGAACACATAGCTTCCATCTTATTTACTAAGCTCAGGGAACCTTCACTTTGTACAATGAACCTTAACAATTACTAAGGGGATTATTCACAAAGCTGCCGTAGGCAGCCGAGTGAATAACTAACCCGAAGTGAAGTGAGCCGAACGCTGTTCGGCTATTCACTTCAGGCTTGTACAGCTGATTTCAGCCGTATATCGGCTCAAATCAGCCGTACATCGGCTTGCTTCGGGTGGCTTTAGTGGCTTGCTTCGGGTGGCTTGCACCCAAAGTGCAGAAGGAGTTCGATGCCTTTGGCTCGACTGAGCCCCTCGGCCAACTTCGGGAGCTGTACGGGCTATACTGAATAGCCCGTACAGCAGCCCTTCGGTTCTACTGAACCGAAGGGGTCCTGGGGCCGAAGCTAGCCGAAGGATCAGCCGAAGCTATGGCTAGATGCTTCCACAGCTTTGTGAATAACCCGTGGGAACTGTCTGTGTTCCTTTAGTGAATCAACCTAATTGATTCAGAAATGGAAAAAGCAAACATTTCTCTGGTAATTAGGTTGAATAACATACAGAAATATTGTGATGGAAAAAATGGCCAAGACTTGGTTATAAATGGAATTTAATATTTTGTATTTTTTGGTATGAATAACAGGAACTGTACATTTATATTAATTCGGCCTATTAAGGGTCACACATACAGTATGGGGTTGATTTACTAACCTTATAAACACACCACGAACATGTATACACCTCTGTAGTGTGTTCCCTCCCAGCATGATCTATGGGTGGAATCTAAACACCTTTGTAGTGTGTACACACCCAGCAGGTGTGTTGTGCAAAGCCCTGCATGAATTGCAAGGTGATGTTGTGTAAATTAGCTCTATGTTGTGTTGCTTGCGTTGATGAATGCAGGAATGTAAATGCATGAGCTAACCATTTTTGTCTAAACTGTGAAGCAGCATTATATATGCATCATGTGCATGATTTTTCCATACATGGCATTAGTGGAAATATGCTTTTAGAGACTTTTTGTTTGATAAATACGTTTTGCTGAGTGAAAATCACACGCACCTGGTGCGTGCGTGTGTTTAGGTTAGTAAATCACCCCCTATGTCTCAAAGGGGTTGATTTACTAACCGTATAAACACACCACGAACATGTATACACCTCTGTAGTGTGTTCCCTCCCAGCATGATCTATGGGTGGAATCTAAACACCTTTGTAGTGTGTACACACCCAGCAGGTGTGTTGTGCAAAGCATTGCATGCATTACAAGGTGATGTTGTGTAAATTAGCTCTATGTTGTGTTGCTTGCGTTGATGGATGCAGGAATGTAAATGCATGAGCTAACCATTTTTGTCTAAACTGTGAAGCAGCATTATATATGCATCATGTGCATGATTTTTCCATATATGGCATTAGTGGAAATATGCTTTTAGAGACTTTTTGGTTGATAAATACGTTTTGCTGTGTGAAAATCACACGCACCTGGTGCGTGCGTGTGTTTAGGTTAGTAAATCACCCCCAAAGTCTCAACTGTGATTTACCAACAAATTCAGTTTTATACATGAGCAGAACCAATGCTTACCTCAGTGAAAATTTACATAATACACCAAATTCACAAAAAAAAAAGAAAAAGCAATATGTATATATAGCAAACACTTCTACAAATATGATATAGTAAATGTAATTACAGGCAGTCCCCGACTTACGGACGTCCGACTTACGGACAATCCGTACTTACGAACCGTGGTCCACAGTTCTCCTAAATGTACCGGCAGTCTTCTCTCCCTCGGTCCGGCCGATCCTTCACTCCCCCGGTCCGGCCTGCGGCTCCTCTGCCCCACCCCCTGCCTCGTCTTCATCAGCAGGATAGGAGCCATACCCAGCCTGCTATTGGATATTGTAAAATGCAATAGCCAATAGCAAGCTGGCTATTGCACCCGCCCACTGCCTGCTGTCAATCAGTATGGGAGGACCTGATAGAGAACTTTCTCCTTCAGGCCCCTCCTCTGCTGATTGACACCAGGCAGTGGGCAGATGCAATA